CCCCCCCGATTAAGATTGCATTTTTAACCCCCCCCCCCCGACTGAGGTACCCTGCCGCTGGCAATGCCCGGAACTGTATTTTTTAAGGTTTATACTTAGCAAAAACCAAAGATTTTAGAGCGCTTGCGCCATAATCATTTGATTGGACTGACAGGACAACTGATTTGGTGGTTGCCTAGCAACATAAAAACTGCAGTGCACTGTGCTCTTGTTTTTTTTTTTTTTTTTTTTAAGTCACCAAAAAAAAAAAGGCAGTGCGGTGCGCCTCGCGTTTTCAGACCTAAAAAGCGCATCCTGTCTGATCGGAGCCATATTCATATAGTATATCATACAACCCAAACTGAGGAGAAAAAAAACTCTCCTGCTTACCAGTAGCAAAGAGTTGGAGATATAAAAACCTCCAAAGCATGACTTACCGGGTTTGGTTGCTTTGAGAGAACCGTCTCTGTTGATGACCACATCTGAACTGTCCATGAGGAGCATGCTTTGACCACTGAGGATGCTTCCCAGCAGATCTGATACAGGGGCTTCCTCTGCAACATCTGCCACCTGTGGGACACTCACACCTCGCCTGGAAACCAGCACACGACTAGGATCACCTATCCAAAACTCAAACTTACTTTCATTATGATTGTCATCACCATTAAGTAGAAATGATCAATTTCCTCCATCGAGACCATAAAGAGCGACCCCCCCCCCCCCCCACCACCCACCCCGGGGGCGCGCGAGCCAGCGGGATTCATTGTAGGTTAATCATGCGTCTCCGCATTCTAATCCACTCTGTTCCGACCACACGCACAGTACTGCTCCCAAAACAAGAAGCTCTGGTGATCTTCTTGAATGGAAAGCTGGAACCGCCGAGAGCTCTCAAGACAGATTCTCACAGCCTCTACAATAAGATACAGTTCTTCAAAAAAGTACTTCAGTGAAGAACACCACACTCTTGGACTCTCACACACAAATTCCTGGAATTGAAAAATGTCTAACAAACAAAGTGTTGTGAATGAACAAAACACACTATTCATTTCAAGTTCAAGACATCTCTAAAGACTACAGACTTTAAGACAGACCAAGCTAGATTTTTACTGAAATAGGAGTCGTTTTGTTGCTCTGAGTGGTTTTAATGCATTGCTATGCAGTGTCTAAGGTGATACAATTAGTTTTAGTGCATCGGTTTGCACTCAATAGGGTGTTACAAGTTTAGAACAAATATTCTTGCTAAATACTTCACTAAACTAAACTCACTGCTCTGATCTGTAACCAAATACAACCCTGACTTGTCCGGGCATGCTTCAGTTAACTATAGTTCTCTAGACATGCTTGCCCAAGATACAGATATATAGAGCAGTTAAGGTCAACCAGAAGTGCAAGCAATCCTCTATAAATTTGTGTTTACAAAAAGCACAGAGTTCTTGATATCACTGACTTTTATGCCTCACAGGGAGGCAATAAATGTCAATCCAGTTATTGACAGTCTTGAGGGTCACTTTAATCTCTGCCTTTAGATGCTCTTGGTAAAGCACTCGGCTCTTCTGAAATGAGCAAACAGAACATGAGGCACATGTTCAACAGGGTTCTATGTCACTTTCTATTCCAGGACAGAACCCCCCCCCCCCCCCCCCCAGTAGCTACCTGGAGAGTCCGGCAGATATGGGTCTGGCCACAGGCTGATGGGATCGCAAGGCAGAACGGGAGAGGCCACGGCGTTTAGCATCCAGAACAGAGGATGGCGTCGGAACTTGAATCTCATCCTCCCTAAAAAGATAAATCCAAAAACTAAGTTAACCACTCACTTCTTAAAAATAGCTTGTAAATATAAATGGTTAATGAGAAGACCATCATAGTACACTAAATTAAACATCACCTATCATCAAAGGGGTCCAGGTCAAAGGGATCTCCATACACTGAGAGGGAGGCTGCTCCGATTTCTGCACGCATACTTCCTAAACTGTACTCTGAAGGCCGATAAACTGAAGGAATCATGGAGCCAGACTTGGGCTTCTTAATGCCTAAACTCCGTGCAATACGACCTCGGGAATTGGTTCCCTTCTTTAGGACCTGAAAGGGCAAAAAGATAGAAAAAACACTTTTATGACACACACATATAACTACAAACCTTCATGTCCTCTTGCACGCAGAAGGTAAAGCAATACTTTTAATCAGCAAAACATTTATATAAGAGCTTTCAGCACTGTGGTAGAAAACCACAGGCTACAGAAACATCAATAAAACATCAATTCAAATTGTAGTGGTTATACATCTGCTGAGAGCTCACCAGTTTTCTTCTCGATTTTGACCTCCTCACTTTGCGTTTCCGTCTCTTGACTCCCATTTTTGTTTTACCCCCTGACGTTGCTGAGGATTTGCTTTTGGTTTTCCTTCTTTTAACTGCATGAACAAGTAAGAGAATCCCATTCAGATCAGACAGAAACAACAGACAGAATCACACCAAACTTAACAGCCAGGTTAATGAAATCTAAAACGGATCACACCTGGTATTATGATCCATCTCAGGTTACCCAATCAGGCGAAACGGTTAGTAGGCAGCAACATTAGTTTATACTTTTAATCAGCAAGGACACATTAAAGGAGTCACATGATGTTGCTAAAAAAAGAACATTATTTTGTGTATTTGGTGTAATGAAAAGTGTTTATGCAGTTTAAGGTTAAAAAAACACATTTTCCACATACTGTACATTATTGTTTCTCTTTTAAGCCCCACCTTTTTGAAACGCAATGATTTTTACAAAGCTCATCGTTCTGAAAAGCGAGGTGTGCTGTGATTGGCCAGCTATCCAGTGCGTTGTGATTGGCCGAATACCTCAAGCGTGTGACGGAAATGTTACGCCCCTTACCATACTGTTGATGCGGTGTCCCGGCCGGTTCTTTACGACCTGAAAGGGCAAAAAGATAGAAAACACACTTTTATGACGGAGACATAACTACTACAAACGTTCATGCCCTCTTGCATGGAGATGGTAAAGCAATACTTTCAATCAGCAAAACATTTATATTAGAGCTTTCAACATTGGTGTTAAAAATTACAGGCTTCAGAAACATCAATAAAGAACAAAAAAGTTAAAAAGTATAGGTTATACATTAGCAGAGAGCTCACCAGTTTTCTTCTCGATTTTGACTTCCTCACTTTGTGTTTCCATCTCTTCACTCCCATGTTTGTTTTTCCCCCTAAGGTTGCTGAAGATTTGCTTTTGGTTTTCCTTCTTTTAACTGCACAAACAAGTAATATAATCCCATTCAGATCAGACAGAAACCTGAAATCTAAAACGCCTGATTACACCTGGTTATTATGATCCACCTCAATCACAAAAGGTCAGGTAAAACAGTTAGTAGGCAGTAATGTTAATTTATATTTTTTTTCAGCAAGGACACATTGAATTGATCAAAAGTGACAGTATAGACATTTACAAAAGATTTATACTTCAAATAAAAGCTTTTTTTTAACTTTCTATTCATCAAAGAATATCGGTCGGGCGGGCGGGCGATCACAGTTTCCACAAATTTATGTAGCAGCACAACTGTTTTCAACATTGATAATAATCAGAAATGTTTCTTGAGCAGCAAATCAGCATATTAGAATGATTTCTGAAGGAACGTGTGACACTGAAGACTGGAGTAATGATGCAGCTTTGATCCACATCAATCAATTACATTTTACAATATATCAAAATAGAAAAGTTCTTTGAAATTGTAGTAATATTACTGTTCTTACAGCAATTTTAATCCAATTAAAAACCATTAAAAAAAAATCAGATTTCAGAAGTTTAGACCATGTGTGATTAGATCAGCCAGAACAAATCTGTCTCACCTGTCTTTCTCCTCCGGCGGGATTTGGAGCGAGGGGTCAAGTCTCGCACATAAACGGCCGTGTTGAGTCCGGCCACTACAGCATTGATGGTCTCATCCAACCACGTGGACTGCATCATATATCTGGGAGCGAGCTAAAACACAATACCACACAAAATCAAACACACATTAGCTCATATCTAAAGCAGTACTGCACAAAACATTCCCAAAGTTCATTCACTAAGCCTAAGTGTGAGCAAAAGTAAAGGTCCTTGCTAGGGGTTGAATGACTACTGATTTTTTGAAGCTGACTTTTATGTGATGAAAGTCGAGTCGAAGTCAACTAGTCGCTGATGACGTCATTAATGAACAAATAAGTCTGGAGCTGTGATAAATACCTTGTGCACAGCTATGGCATATGACACAGCTGTAGCGTCTGCGTAGAATCATGCATGATCTTTGGGTTTTTATGGCTTAAGAGACCCTTTTAGCCTTTTGACATTTGCATATAAATTACAGTTCTGGTCAGAGATTTTACTTTTTAATGGGGGTTTAAATTGCCAGATGGTTCCTCGCCATCAAGGAGATTCTAAACAGTCCTCCCCCACTATCATCTCCCCCATCTGACTTCAAACACGGTCCCAAAGAGCTGTAAATGACCCCGATGGGCCTGGCTAGCCAAGTAAACTAACACACACACAAACACAAACACACACACCCATAAAGACCGTTACTCTATTATACTCTACAAATATATCTGGTATATTGCATGTGTTGTTTGTACGTTTCCCTATTAGATTAGCTGAGTTACCACTCGTTATTTGTATTAGTTAAAGCCATAAAACACTGATATTCAGGTGTATGTATGTATCTTTGGTTTAATCTATTCCAAATGTTTGTTTCTTGGTATCAATATTATCTGCTTTTCATTCCTCGAA